TCTTCTGTGGCGATGTAATGGCAAGATGCCGAAAATATGCGCTCCAGTTTTCGTGTTCGATTACCTTGAGAAGGGCATATGAGATCCCGAAGAGATTTAATCTGCAGTCCATTTTGGATGAAACTTTCTTTTGAGTGGCAAGGCCAAGTAGATTTCATTGCTTTCGTGATGCCAACTAGTATTATTGCTGGAAAATTTAACTTGACAGTATATCACTTAAGCTTTTCATAACAGTAAAGAACTTGTTTGGCCTGCATTAAATTTGGGTGATTTTGATAATGCCATCCGATGATGAGGGCAACAATCCGCATCTCATTTAACTGATTTACTGGTAGTCTTGAGACAATAAATATGAACGAAAAATAAGTAATGTATTCGATTGTCATAGCAAGTATAACTTTGCTTTATCGACAATCCCACCAAAGAATAGGATGTGGGAAAATGCCTGGTCTTAGTAAAAATTTACATTTGCCCTTTGACTCAAGAGCATTTGTGGCAATGTTTCATAATGGCTAACGTGTCTAGCTGACGCTGAAAACTGTCATGGTTAGACTTCCTCTGGAGGTGTCGATAAGATCTTGGCGAGGTCGAAACTGCAATCCACTTTAGCCTGGATGAGAACATTTCTTATGGAAAATAAGACTGTAAAATTTATTGGAAGCGTCAGCTCTTTTCATATGATTTTAGGAAAATTCCACTACAAGTCATTCATCATCTTAAAAGTAATAGAGTTAATACCTCTTATAACTGATTTGTTGGTAATTTCAAAACCCTTATTATGAACCCAAAATTGGTATTTGTATCTACAACACGAAGTTAATACTGACAAATCAAGCTAATAGTGTCTCGACAAGTATACGCTAAAAACATATTGCTAGTAGTATATTTCCTAACTCCAAACTTTCATCGAGGCAAGAGTCGTATTAACTCAGCTCATTCTTACTTACCTAATGATCAGCTTCAACAGTTTGTCTATACAAATAATACCATTATTCTACCTCTAACAGTTTTTTATAGTGTACTTTGAAATCCTTTGCATTGGTGTATTTATAAAGCGTGGAAAATGTCTATTAATTTAATAGATTATCTCCTCACTAATGTTGACTAATACTCATGCGATTATCTACCTGGACTTGCATAAACATGTATCAAAACCTCACAAATTTTCCCGATTTCTTTCTTCTTATAAAGTCAATTACCTTGTTGAACTATTAATTTTTTTTTGTTCCTTAGCTAACGGCTAAGTGTCCTATAAATCTTCTTCGGCCTGGACCCTCTAACTACTCCGCATCTTCTTTGCCAGCTGCTGCATCAGCATTTTCTGTAGAGACTGGAGTCGCATCTAACTCTGCGCCGTTGAACCCTCCAGTGCTAGCAACAACAGTGCCTACCCCCAGCTCTGCTTCTTCAGTAAATTCCACTACTGCCTCCTGGCGCATATGGTGGTGGTATTCTTGGATGACTGGCACTTCAGACACCAATGTGGCTATCAGCTTACCCTCCCTCGATGATCCGAAAGAGGTATTTAAAACTGAAGTGTCAAAGTCTAATGTGACTTCTGATTCTTCGCCCGAATTTGGCGACTGTGAGACTGGCATTACTGCAGAGACCGACCTCGAGAGGGATTTCGACACTGCATTTCTCATGCTGATGAACGAGACGGCTAGATACGATCCCGGAGCAGACTTCGTGTCTTGCTGTTCCAGTGCAACAGAGGACGCCGTTTTTCTTCGTCTCACCTGCAGTCTCCGTGGCTGTCATCTTCGTTTAGTTACAAGTAATCGTAGTTCATGCCCAGAATCGGTCTCTGACACACCTAGCAGCTATCAAATCACGAAACTTGAGGTAATTGTATATAAGAAGACTAAGTTGTTGTGGCCTTTGTTATCGCTTTAGTCTCCTTTCGATTTATAGAAGTGGGTTGACCTCGTTGTCGCAACTTGGTCTTGTTGTTAAGGCGAATATGTAGAACTCACCTAGTCCGAAGTCGTCTGCCATAGTAGTTTCATAATTCCCACCATCTGACAATGGACTTGATACATTCTCAAACGTCTTGCCGGCATCGTAGTCAACATCATTAGGGAGCCTTGCCATTCTCCGCACCAAGCTACAAACTCATCAGGAGACAAATCAAGTCAATACATCGACAGCCGTTCTGCCGAAAACGGTTACATTATCACTCCTATTTCTGTCATTGTCTATCTATCTACTCTTTACACTCTTATCCCACTGCCGCCCTATCACAACTTTTCACTTGTTTACATTCCAATCGTCAAGCTGTGTGCCCTTTGTGGCAAACCGAGTGTGGCCTCATCACACTTGCTATTCACCCCAACCCCCTCTCTTTCGATCGGTTGATCCGACTCGGGCCTCCAATCCGGATCCTTTTATTGTTTCTTTGATCCGTTCCTTATCTTTCTGGTTGACCGATTTCACTCAGGTCCAGTCCCTGTGTGCATTTCTTAAACATAGCACTGGAAGAAACCGATTTATTAGTATGTTTCGATGTGGAATCTATGTATACAAATCATTCTGGAGAAAATGCACTAACGGCTTTGCTGGAAATTTTGGACTGAGAGGAGGATATCCTGGAATCACAACGGATTATGAGGGATTCGTTATCAAGACTAATCAACTTGACAATAGGGACCACCTATTTTACATTTAACGGGAACATCTTTGAACAAATATTTGGACTTCCCATGGGATCACCGCTCTCACATGAACAAAATAGAAGAGACCTTTAAGACGACACCGCTACACCTGACAATGCTCATGCGGTACCTAGATGACTGCTTCGCACTTTGGTTATATGGAAGAGAAAAACTGGAAAAGTTTCTGAAATTTCTAAACCAGATTGATGGAAAAATTCAATTCACAATTGAAGTAGAGGAAGGTGAGCGCTTACCGTTCCTGGACGTTGAAGTGATTCGTCCTAATGGAACGCTGAAAAAGAAATTGTTCAGAAAGAAGTCATATGCTGGAATAATACTCAATTTCCGGTACCATAACAATTACAGTTTAAAGATTGGTATAATGATCATCCGAAGCCTACGCCTGACGGATCCAGATTTCAGGGACGAGGAGCTGGACAAATTGACTAGGATCTTCCTCGGCAATTGCTACCCAAAGGAAGTGATACAAAGAAACATACTGTCCGTGAAAAGCCAATGGCAGAACGGGGACTATTAAAAAATAGTAAGGAAGATGAAAGCTTCACAAAAGTGGATATGCCTACCTTCCTGCAAACTAACTTAAAAAGGCCAATATTGAGTAAATGGAATATTCAGGTGGCCATGAAGGAGAAACCAACAAGTTTCACAAGTCTACCAAGGCAGCATGAAAGGGTTAACAAATTGGACTGTTCAATAGTTTACTGTATACCATGCGGCGGCTGCGGACAGAAATATATTGTCGAAACAGGGAGAGAAATTAGCACACGAATCAAAGAACATCAGAGGCTTTGCAGGAAAATGGATACTGAAAGATCCAAACTAGCGAAACACATCGCACAGACTGGACACGATATAATTGGAAGGCAAAAGAAAGGAAAGCTCCATACGGTGAGAACACAAGGAAGCGAAGATTACGGGGGCAATTGACATGCTTGGGGAGAACAATATAATGAACAGGAGATTGGAGGTAGGTAAAGTTAGAGATAACTTTGCCTACTGCCTAAGCAAAATCGGGGAAAACAATAGAGCAAGATGAGCATAAAGGAGACGCCTGGACTAAGGATCTTCCGCTAACCGGAGGAACAGGGTTTGCGATGACAAAAGTAAGGGAAAGGGGTTTTCGGCAATTAAGCGAAGACGTTATTAGTGAGTAATGGCCATTTTGCATAAACCAATACAACTTTGGGAGCCTGGTAGTCATGGTGCTGGGCAGACTGATAGAAATTAGGGGTTCTGGCCAAAATGCATTAGAAATTAACTTGACATGCCACATGCGACCAGAGATAGGCGTCCACAGTTTGCTCAGATAACATGGGTTTAATCAAGGAGACGACTCGTGTATGGAGTGCCTGATATCTGCATGCATGGGAATTAAAGCTTAAGCGCGCTGCTCAGTGGAGCGGCAGTTTATGTGCTTCTAGGGCCTTGAGCAATAGCGCCTGGAGTGAAATGCATACAGTGACTGAACCCGAGTGAAATCGGTCAACCAGAAAGATAAGGAACGGATCTACGAGGCAATGAGGAGATCCGGTTGGAGGCCTGAGTCGGATCAACCGATCGAAAGAAAGGGTGTTGGGGTGAATAGCAAGTGTGATGAGGCCACACTCGGTTTGCCACAAAAGGGTACACATTTCGACGTTTGGAATGTACACAAGTGAAAAGTTGTGATAGGGCGGCAGTGTGATAAGAGGGTAAAGAGTATATAGATAGGCCAGGACAGAAAGAGGAGTGATAGTGTAACCGTTTTCGGCAGAACGTTTGTCGATGAGTTGATTTGACTTGTCTCTTTCACGAGTTCGTAGCTTAGTGCGGAGAATGGCAAAACTGACTGATAATGCGACTACGATGCCGTCGAAACGTTTTGAGAATGTATCAAATCCTCTATCAGATGCTGGGAATCATGACAACTACTATGGCAGACGACTTCGGACTAGGTGCATTCTACATAATCTACCTGACAACAAGACCAAGTTGCGACAACGAGGTCAACCCACTTCAGGTAATTGCGTTCATCTATTCTCACAGTTACTCTTTTCATGTTTGGATTTTTTAATATCGTCAGTCTGAGTGCTATCCTTCATTCTTGTTTGAAAGCTTTTTGCTTTATGCTGTTCATGGTCCCTTTTTATCTTTGCATATTGTAAAGAATGCATTAAAATTAACCAAAAAATGCCTATCCAAGTTTAGAATTAAAAATTACACCAGTTTATTTTATATCGAGCATATGCACACCCTTAGAATTGCCTTACTTTAATATTTCGCTTTCTTCACATTACTTGCATGCCTTTCGTGTCTACTTGATTTTTTAGCCACTTATTTGTGTCTCTTGCGAAAACGTGCACTTCGGTCTCGAAACACGGCCCAGTTCCAATGGTTTTCGAGTCACCGCCGGCCTCGAATCGCTCACTGTGATTGATGAACGTCTAATGCCTGGCCCCAGTTCAAACATTTATGACCTACTTGCTTCGTCTCGACCAAAGAAAACTACCACATCTCCTAGCACCACTAACTCCAATTTAAGCACTACTGCTCATCACACCGATAACCCCACAATAACCGCCTCTTGGAGACCGCTTTTTCCTATCCTAGTTTCTACTCAACCCCCATCTATATCATCCGGAGGCAGACAAAGCCCTTCAGGGTCCCTCTCTAAGCGCTTATTCTGGCTTGATTATCAACTTGCACCACTTGATGGAAAAGCTGATTACAGGTTCGAATCACCTTCGCGTCCGTTCTTTTATATATCTTCGCACTATTTTTTTTCTCTAAAAGATTCCCTTTGTTTTAACTACTTATGTCCCGGAATCACATTTTCAAGCGCGTTTTAATGTTGAGGAAGCTGTACTGGCTTATTACCACACGAATATAATTAGGTCTATTTTTTCTCGTCAAAAATGATGATCTCTTTCCTCATTTTTAAATCAGATTTAGGAAACGTCAAAGATTATCCACTAAATTTAGGAGGGACAGTCACC